CCCTACAATTACTGATGAATGCTAAAATTATCAAAGTTTCTAGTTTTGTTTATCATATTATAGTGAGTAATTACTTAAAAGGCAAATCAAGTTTCAGCTTTCATCTCACTTTTAGAGATGATCAAAAAGCCCAAGTTATGCACCCAAAAATCTCACCTAGTCTTCCTCTGAGACTCCCATCCAGCAAAATATGATTTGCTTGTCACAGTAGTGCATATTTATCTTTTTCTAAACCTTTTCTATCGTAATCAGGTGATTATTAAGATAACATTAATTCATAACTAAATATGAGATATTCAACAAAAGTGCAAATAAGCCAATCAGTATGTGTATGAGTTACATCTGATACAACAAGATAGAAAGGCCAATCTCAACTCTTAACTTCTATTAAAAAGCAATTAATTTTAACTTTACTTGAAGTGCTGCAGTTGTCCAAGGTGAAAGTAAATTTAAGCAAACAAAGTTCATTGACAGTTTAAAAGTGCTTGGACTCTCGGTTAACTTGCCAATTCAGCAAGAAAAGGTTAGTGCAGCTACACCTCTAACTGCATCCCTTACATTTGACCCCTCCCCATTGGCTCTACCTGTTCTTCTTTGGCCACTCCCTTTTCTAATTTGCTTATTCTGATAGAGATCATACAACATTTTTATTTTTTTGTTATTTTTATTACTATGTATAAACCAGAGAGAAGAAAATGCCTTCTATTATTTTAGTTGAAATGTTATTCAATAAAATTGGCATCATTTGTATAAAGCAACACAAATATTGCTTATCATCATGGCTTCTGTGCAGTCCCACATTGGGGCTGTGTGTGTGGGGCTGTGTGTGTGTGCAGGTGGAAAAGATTTCCAAACCTTTTAGTAGACTAGGAGTGCCCCTTTGGTGCTTTCCCACCAAAACAATCACATGACCAGGAGGAGGGTGCTACTCCCTCAGCTCTCTTTTTGTCACAATGAAGGCAGGATCTCCATTGGTGTTTTGTTTTTTTCCTTACCTCATTCTTGAGACTGAGGAGACTTCTTTCTCTCAAATGTTTTCTTTTTGTCATCAATACTCATTATAGTGAACAATAACATATATTTAAAGAAGAAATGTTTCTGGATTTCCACTGTGTCATTATGGCTCAAAAGGGGCCTCCTCAGGATTGTGCCAACTGTGGCTTTAAAATGGTACTCATTAATACACATTCTCTGTACCTTATCTGCCTAGGGGTTCAAACAACAGAGCTGCCTGCTCTTTCTGTCACCAATTTCCCCTGAGGGTGTGATTTGATACAGCTGGACTCAAAAGAGCTCCTTTTCAAAGGCTTTGGCTGTGTGCTGGCCTGAATAAAGGCACCTTTGCCCTCCCTGGCAAGGTGTGGTGTGACTGAGCCTCGGATTCACTGACTCTTTTAAAAGGCTTTGGCTGCACACCAGCCTGAATGAAGGCACATCCCCCTTCCTTAACTTTGTCTGTTCCAAGGGGAGAAACCTGGAAGCATTGCCTGGCAGAGCCTCCAATTCAGTCTACCATCATGCTGCAGTCTGTCAACACTGAAACTTAATTCTAAGGGGCTTTCAGCACAGGTGCTGTTTCAAGCAGAGACAAAGCTTGCTGTTGCTGTCTCTGTGGGGAACTCAGAAGTGATCAGCAACTATGCTTTCTGGACACAAGCCTGAGCAGAACAAAAACTATTGAGGCAGACTCAGCATGGGTTATGTAAGAAAATATCTTGTCTCACTAGCCTGTTAGTGTTTTTTGAGGGAGTGAAGAAACATGTGAACAAGGGGGACCCAATAGATGTTGTTTACCTTGACTTCCAGAAAGCTTTTGATAAAGTTCCTCATCAAAGGCTCTTAAGTAAGCTCAATAGTCACGGGATAAAAGGACAAGTCCTCTTGTGGATCAAACACTGGCTAATTAATAGGAAACAGAGAGTGAGTATAAATGGGCAATTTTCTCAGTGGAGGGTGGTAAGCAGTGGGGTACCATAGGGATCAGTACTCAGTCTGATGCTTTTTAACTTGTTTATTAATGATTTGGAGTTGGGAAGTGGCTAAATTTGCAGATGACATGAAGCTGTTCAGGGTGGTGAGAATCAGGGAGGATTGTGAGGCACTCCAAAGAGATCTGTCGAGGATGGGCGAGTAGGCGTAAATGTGGCAAATGGGGTTCAATGTGGCCAAGTGCAAAGTGATGCACATTGGAGCCAAAAATCCTAAATATAAATACACATTGATGGGTTCCGAACTGGCAGAGACTGACCAAGAGAGAGATCTTGGAGTCGTAGTATGGGAATGTCTTTTTTGTTTCAGGTTTGTGTCACTGACTTAGCAGAGGGCTATTAAATCTTCTGTATATAATTTTGTTTGCAGAATGGATAGAATTCAATCCTTATGAAGTGGGCTTTCAGAAATATGGTGCCTACATTCGTGCAGAAGATTTTGATAGTGAGTTCTACATGGGCAAGCTGGTAAAGAGGTTCCCAGAGTCTCCAATTTGTTATCTGGAAGGTAACATATTAGCCATTATAAACTGGA